CTGCTGGGATTTAGTAGACATTTGCCATTCTGTTTGATTGCCCAGTACCTTAACTTCCTTCCTTTGTTGGGGAATTTTCTTCCTTCTGAGTCTTGGTGGGTTGCAGAACTTACCTCCCACCACATAAACTAAAAACGCCTGCTAAACATTTCCCTGCCTCCCTTGCAGCGAGAGCATAGTCACGTGACCCAGCCTTCACCAATCAGAGGCACTGGGCCAGGTTCCCAATCCAAAAAAAGTAGGGATGGCACAGTTTCTTTCTGACAGAGGTACCAGCCGTGTGAGATCAAGTTCCTGGTACAAGCGGTACCGTCTGGTGGAGAGAGCTGTGGTTTCCTCACCCAACTCTGCTATGTGGAACATGAGGCAATCGGGGGGATTCGGCTGCCTACTCCCAAGCCTGTACACTACCTAATTTTAACAAACTGATTTTCTAAATCGGCCGAAGTCACTGCTGCTTGCAACTGAGCACCCAAATACTAAATCCAGGTGCTATCGGCAACAGACACTCTAATGGGGAATTGGCTGCGTGGAGGTGGCAGAGCAGAGGGCGTCGAGGACATGCTAGTCCAGGCTGGGAAGCGGTGGCCCTCGCATGGCTACTGCAGAACATTAGGTTTACACCAAAGTTTGGTAAACGTTTTCTGTGAAGGGCCAGATAGTAAACGTTTTAGGCTTAGTGGTCCGTATGGTCTCTTTCACAACTACTCAACTCTGCTTTTGAAAGCAGCCAGGAACAATATGTAAATTAGTGGGTGATGCTACAGGCCAATAAAACTTTATTTACAAAAATCAAGTGGTGGGCTGGATTTGGCCCATGGACCATAGTTTAATCCTGGTTTAAATTGGCCCCTATTTTCTACGAACAATGTACCTGTGGATATCATAGTATCAAAATATTGTAGAAACACATCAAGATGATGTCATGTACAGCTTCTTAGAGCCTTCAGTAAGTTCCTATGAGAAAAAGTTAATCTTGGGGCAAAGATGGTCCATCTAATGGCCAAAATGGAAGAAAACCTGGCTTCAGCAAGATGCTTTCTGCCTGAAACCGGCAATCTAAACTGATGGAGGACGCAAGGATTTGGAGGTTTGCAGGGATGGGCAAGGCAAATTCTAAAGCAGGGGTCGAATTTCATTCTTCGGGATCAATCATATGTGAGGCCACAAGCATTTGGTGAATGGATGAATGAATGAATGATAGGCTAATTTCCTGAATGGAAGAAATATAAAACCGAGTGCTCTGGGGTAGCCCTCATTCACCTGCCACACGGACAAAAAAAAAAACAAAACAAAACCTAGAAACACAAATACGAACAGTGGCCCCTGGAGGTTTTAGTTTGCAATCCCTGGGTGGAGATGAGAAAATGTGGGTTCCCTAGATAGCTTTTCATTACTTTTGTCATTTCTTGGGTGAAAATTAAAGATCTCCCTCTTTCTGAATGAATTTTTCTTTTTTTAAGTGGAGCGCGCTCCCTCTTTCTGAATGAATTTTTCTTTTTTTAAGTGGAGCGTGCTACAAAGATGGTCTTATCTCCACCGCCACCCGTACCTTTAAGGCAAAAGTCTTCATTAAATACAAACTAAAGAACAGGACTGGCTACATAATTTGACAACCATGAGAAATGAAAATGTAGGGCTGTTTGCTGAAATATCGTTAAGAACTTTAAGACGGCACGAACCGATCACTGACCCCGCATGGGGCTCTGTGCAGCTCCTGGTCGCTGGTCCCAAGAGCTGGCCCCACTGGAGGCAGAGGGCGTGGAAGATCGTCCTGTGACCGACTGCTGGTCATTCACTGCTCACTGTAAATACGTCTCGATGAGAAACTGGGTGGCCCCCTGCCACTCCAAATGGCATTTTACCCTAGATGTTGGCATAGCGGGAACAGCAGAGTCTGTTGCTCTAGGCGATTTGCTTTTAAACTTTTTCATGTACAGTTATACAAAACATAGAAAATGGACTATTCGAAAGGCACACGAAGTAGAAAGTATCTAACTACCCCTAAAGTCACATTTGTCCCCAAATCAAGATTCAAACTTAACCTCTAGGCTTCTCCCCAACATTTTCCCATCTCCACTGCTCTCCCAATATACAAACCTGTCCAGCGAGCTGCGTTGTAAACAACCATAAGCGAGTTTAGTAACCCCCCACCCAGGCATGACCATGCTATGGCTTCTGTCTAAGCTACTGTGTTTAGTGAGTTTACATACAGGCTTGGGGGTCCAGAGGTCCTCGTCATCAGTTAATACAGAGCATCCTAGAACCTCGTTAGGGATGCGCACAGGCACACAACCTGTAGCAGAGGGTATGGAGAGCATTTTCCTATATTCAGGTATAAATATATACATTCGCTCAGAGCAACAAATTGATTTTCCAAATTACAGTCCTTCATAAAAATGTCCTAAAATGCGCAAACTACAGTTCCTTCAAATTGTTCTTATCAGTAGTATATTTGCCCCTAATATTTGCTTCTTCGATGTCTTAGCTACTTTTCTTGTGGTTGTTCCTTAATGACTGATAGTAAGCACGGAGTGAGGGCTGATTCTGCCCACGGGTCAGAAGTCGAGTTATTTTCTCCCTCATGTCATCATCACCTCTTTCCCCGCTCCTCAAAGCACGTCAGACCGTGGAGGGAAAGGCAGCTCTCAGGTCACAGAGCCTCAGCATCGCAGACGGATGTGGGCGCGGAAGGCTGCGCAGTGGTGGCAGCCAGCCAGGAAAAGCCATGGCATCCTTTCAGATTCCCACACGCCCCTGAAGGTTAGCGGGGAAGGAAATCCAGGCACTGCTTGGGGATCAGGCTTACCAGACTTCCGGTTGGGAGAGCTGCTCACTGCCATTGTGGCCACCAGGAAACTACAGAAAAGCCACCTGGGTAAAATGCTTGGGGCACTTTAGACCCGCCTCCTTCCAGAGGCTCAAGTAGCCTCCTGCAAACGCCAGGGTGTGATCCATGTTCCCATCTACCACATACCCAGTGACAGTTTTCCATCAAGGTAAGAGGTGGCACTCTGTCCTGTCACTGCCCCGACCGAAGTCATCCTGCACTGTCTTCGCTGGTGGCTTCTCCGTGAGTGCCCTAAGAGAGGATGTCTCGATTTGCTCGCTCCTCGCACAGTGCCTGGGACATAGTCAGCACGGAGCACTCTTGACATGAACGAATGACTCAGTCTTGCACGGAAGGAGCCCGAGGTGGCCCTAGAACTACTCAAAACAGACACCTCCCCAGCTCCTCTGGAACTGGGCTGATGGCAAATCACCGCGCCACTCTGCAGGCCAAGTGCAGAAAGCATTTAAAGAGCTCCAGGCCCAAGGACTTGGGGACAGGCCCCACGCCAGCCCAGGCCCACCTCCCCGGCAGCACCCTCTCAGCCCCAGAGGACAGAGACAGCGAGGTGCGGGCAGCTGCTTCTACGGGCATTTCTCTGGGTCACCCGCATCATCACCCGCCTCACACTTGAAGACCAACTTTCCAAGGCCGCATTTCCCTGTGCCGTCTGGGAAAGGTCTGGAGTGGCACCCGCCCCGCTCAGGTCTGCGAATCGCGGCCATCTGGGTCCCTCTCACGGCTTCGCTGGCTGTCGGGGACTCCAGGAGGCTCCGTGGGAGCAAATGGTCTCCGGGTTTAACAGACGACACTGCCCGACAAATGCCGGGGTGAGTGAGCGATACTCAGGCGGATCTCGACGTCTCCGGGAGCTTAAAGACCGGCGGGCATGCGGCAAGCTCTCCCCACCCCTGCCCCACGGGGCCTCCCTTTTCAACCCTCTTCGCAGCCTTCAGCAGGGTTTGCGCTGTTTCCCTAACCGGTTTTCAATCCATCTCCTCCATTAGACGGTGAGCCCCGCACAGAGACTGTCTCAACGTGGTCTCCGCGTGCCTGGCGCACCGTGTTCCGTAACTTATGTTGATGAATGAATGAATGAATGAATGAATGAATGGTGGATGGGTCCTCGAGGCTCTAGAAATGGGGTTAGTGAAGGCCGGCCAGCTTAGAAGGCAGGGAAGGAAGAGAAGGGGGAGGTGTTCTGACTCCGACTAGGAAGGAGGCTGCGCCTCGTTCACCCCCTCCCGCCCCGCTCAGGGTGGCTGGCTAGAGGGGTGCGTGGCCTGTGACAGGAGTTTGGGTGGTCCAGATGGAAGCAGCTGTGGAAGACAGTGAAGAATCAAGAGCTGATGGAGGCCAGGGCTCTGGCTTGTAGTGGGGTCTGGACCCAGATCCCCACCTTGACATAACTTTACATCTGTGAGGCAGCCCTGCTCCCCAGCCCCGTGGTACCCTGCCCCGTGGTACCTCACCCTAAGGCACGTTAGCATCACCGAGGAGCTTGTTGGAAATGCAGGTTCCCAGGCCCCATCTGCGGACTCCTCCAGCCCTGTAGGCCTAGGGAAAAACCAGTAGCCTGCATTTTCCAAGGTGTGCTAGGAATCACAGATTGAGAGGTTCTTTACCTCGGGGTGAGCCCACATCGAATCCCCAGGTTAAAGATGACCATCCCTAAGGCAAGCAGGTGACATTGTCTGCAAATGGGGGTGGCACTTTCTGGATCCAGCCATTACGGGCGGGTGGGGGCTCTGGGCTGGATGTAGACGGAACAGCAGGGGCCATGCCCCGTTTCGCTCATGGAGCCTGACTAAACCCCAGGAGGTTTCATCCCTCACCTGGGCCCGCCCCCGCCTTTCCACCACTAACGCCCAGAGATTCAAGGAAGGGGAGCTGAGGGAAGGGGGGCCTGGGGGGGCCCAACCCTGGGGGAAGTTGTGCCCCCCGACCTGGCTTTCTCATTTTCTTGTCATCATATCACATATGTTCAGAATCATCCCGCTGGATTTCTGGCTTTGTCCTGTTGAGATTTCCGGATGGGCGGGAATTCTGAATTCCGGCCTTCATTCTCTGATCTCAAGAATGCAAAAACTCTTTTTTTTTTTTTTTTTTTTTTTTTTGGCTTTTAAAGGAAACAATATGTCTGCTAGAAAAACCACACACACAAAAAAAATGATTATATACAAAACGGTTATCTGGACGTGGATTCTGTGCTGCGGCAGAAGCGACCGAGCGGCTGGTGCCTATTTGCGCTTCCTCAGGATCAGGTACATGAGGCCACTGATGAAGGTGAACGCGAAGGCCACCCACGCCAGGATGAAGGAGTAGCCATAGCTGCCCCCCGAGGTCTGGGAGTAGAGCTGCTTGTTTTTAGCGTGAAAGTCTTGGCGTCGGTCCGTGTAAATGGAAGCAGCGATCATGACGCACAGGCCTGGCGGAAGACAGTGAAGATACCGGTTAATCACGGACATGAGGGAACGATGGCTGGGGCTGAAGGTCAACGTCAACGTCTACGATGATAGGTATTATTCTGGTCTACTGGAAAGATGACAGCAAATATTTTGCGGCAGAATGTCGCTGCCTCCTGTCTCCATTTTGCTCCCCATTCTCGCTAGCTGAACCCAATTCTATCTGGGCAGCCAGGTACCCAGCCCAGAGGATAAGTCATAATTGGTCTAAGCCAGCGATCAGCCTGACAGTAAATAGTTTAGGCTTTGTGAGACCCGTACATTTCCTGTCATCAAATACTCAGCTCTGTACTTTCCCTTGCTCACTGCTTTAGATACTGTTAGGTCAGGGTGGAGTGTCTGGAGCTGCGGCAGCCTTTTTGGGACCATGAGGGGATCGTCACTGGCACTCTGAAGGTGACAGCATACAAGGATGAAAAGAGTGGGGGTTCTCGATGCTGCCGCTGAGCTGCCAAACCAACTCTGGCACCTTCCACCCCCAAACTATTTGTTACATAAAAAAAGTAAAGGTCTTGGTGGCTGAAGTCGTTGTTAATTGGATTTTCTCTTACTTGCAGCCAAAAGCATCCTAACTGAATCACCAGCATTCACAGATATTAGTGCTAGGATGAGATTAAGAACCTGGATTTTCCTTGGGGGATCCATTGTCTCTGGCCAGGTGGGACTGTCCATCAGGCTCCCAGCCCTTCTCTGGCCGGGAGGCTGACTACTTAAGACAATCTCTGCTGATGAGACTCTTGCTCCTAGACCTGAGTCGAGAGCGAAGTCACACTGTCTTCAATTCACACTGAATCTGCCAGCGCCTCCCTGAAGTGACCGCCCACCCGACTCTGCTGCCTGAACCCTCTTTCCAAAACCTGGTTTGCAGCTTTCCCTTTTCGCCGCCTGCTCCCCCAGAATCCCATCTCGTACATGAGTCGGAGCATCTGCTGCTCAGACGTGAACATCCCTGACTGCTAATAGCGTCTCGACACTCCAGGCTTGGGGCAGAACAGAGAGAGGCAGGTCCTTGGACCAGAAAATGGCCAAAGGAGTTGTTGCGGGCGGGAAAGGAGGGTGTGAGTCTCGCATCAAAATCTGGGCAACTTTTGTATATCTAGGTCATGGGTTTTGGCTAAATGGCCTTACAGACAGACAAATGGAGACAATGACAGAATGCAAACGTCAATGGGTGACTCCCCAAGGCCCCGCTCTGCATGTTCAGTGATGGTATTCAACTGCCTTTAATGGGGTGAGCTGTGGGATGCCCGAGCCTCTTACTGGGAGATACTTAGGAAGTAAAGGAAGAGACAGAACAGACGTCCCCTCACGGGTGCCCTCAGGCAAGTCGTGTCACATCTCTCGGCCTCACTGACTGGGTCTGGGTCACTGCTCCCAAGTGCTGGGCTCCTGGATGGGAAGATGAATCCCCAGGTTCTAGCCCAGCAGATTCTGATGCAAGAGGCGGAGATGGGGCCTTGGGGTGTGCACTACGGAAGGGTTCCCGGGGATCCTCGTGGACCCAGGGCTCAGGGACTGAGTGACCTTCCAGGGTCTTTCCCACTTGAAACGCTTTCATCGTCCGCCTGCGCCCTGTAGGGACGATGCCTGGCTGGTCGCGTAAGTCCCCCGAGGGGCTGCTGCATGTGATCAACCACCCCGCTTTGCCCAGGACAGAGGGGTTTCCTGGGACGTAGGACTCTGGCCTTAACAGTGAGACAGTGCCAGGCGAACCGGGCAAGCCGGTCACCCCACTGAGCTGCTGACATGCCTCGGGTCCATGCTGAGGGCGTAGCAGGTTTCACTTCACCCCAGGGTGCGGGATGAAGTCTGGGAGGTAGATGGCCGGAAGGAGGCAGTGGTTAGAACCAAGCAGCGGGTTGGCTCTGAATCCCAGATTTTTTTAATCCTCATCAAGCTACTTATTAAATCCTGATTGGAAAGTACAATGGAAGGGGCTTCTGGAAAGCTTCGACTCTCTACTGAGTAACAGCAACAGATGACCGATCGCGATTTCAGCTTCACCACAATTCTGAGTAGCAGGAAGTGCTCTGAGACATCTTTTTTCTCTAAGTCCCTAAGGAGTGAGGCCATGTCTTGTTCATCTCTGTATCCCCAGCAGCCCCCCTAAGGCCTGGCCCTGAGCGGGCAATTCTGACATCAACCAGCCTGAAAAATCATCTGTTGGTGGCTTCCCACTAGCTTGAGTCAAAGGTTCCCAAATCCTACAAGACTTACGTACAACACCCCGTGGAGTCCAGCCCAGCTGCCACCACGCCCCACTCCAGCTCTACACTCCGACCCCACTGGCCAGCTCCTGCCACGGGGCTTCGGCCATGCTGTTCCCTCTGCCTGGCACACTGTTCCTTCCCCTCTGTACCAAGAGACCACACTGTAGACAGCCAGTCCTACTCGCCCCATGGATTCCAGCTCAGGAAGGACGCCTCCCGACCCCCTCACTCAATCCAGACTCCAAAACATAAAATGTCCCACTGTGACACCGCAGCCAGCTCCCCCGTCGCAAGCCCCCGCCTGCCACACTCCTCCTGGTGTCCGAGGGGGAGGGCTGACGTCTCACTTACATGACAGGAGCTGGATGATGGAGGTTAAAATGAATCTCTGCCCCTGTTTGAGGCGGAAGAGCTGGAGCAGGAAGAGCAGGAAGGCGACGCAGCAGAGGATGGTGGACAGGATCATGGTGGCCTGGACCACCTGCATCGTGGCGTAATCTGTGGGGAAAGGAGAACGTGGGGCTGAAGACCACAGGCCGCTTGGACCCCGGGGCGGCACAGACGGTGACAGCTCCAGAGTCAGGGACTCTGTGTGGGGCGTCAGGCTGTTGTCAGCACCGTCTGAGCCCAGGAGTCTTCCTGACACCCCTCCCTCTGGTGTCCATTTGTGCGCTGGACCGGACGGGCCCGTGTCCTTATCTGGAAAACGGGGCAAAAGCCACCTGCTCTGCATTCTTCTCGGTCTGGGTCGCTGCTCCCAAATGCTTGGCTCTTGCATGGGGAAATTTTTTTAAGTACAAATCCCCAGGTTCCAATCAGGCAGCTTCCGGTTCAAGAGGTCAGGATGGGACACGGGACGGGTCAGGACTGGGGGGTCCGCACTATACAAAGACCTCTGGAGGGACTCTTGGGGACTTGGGGCTCATGGAACTGACTGACCTGGAAGTACACAGAAGGGAGGGACCTTATGATCACTACTTAGGAAAAGGAAGGAGAGTTTTCAGATTCGTCTCACAGAGGGCAGTGTCAAGAGGTCGGGGCTCCATACCGGGGGGTGACAGCAGAGAAAGGAGCCAATCTTGGGGGAGGGAGCCGCACAGGGAAGCACACAGCTGGCTCCCTGCACCGCACGCGAGGGCCTCAGTTTCCCTACTTGTGAAATAGGGACAGCAAAGCTCCCGCCCCAGCAGGCTGGGAGAGTGGGGTGAACTCATGCGTGGATTTTCAGGGTTGTCCCTGAAAGGGAGTCCCGTGTAAGGGCTGAACATTATCACCAGGATGCAGGTCAGATGGGTGAGGGGACAGTGCCCAAAACTAAGGAAAATCTAAGAAAAACTTTTTTTTTTTCATTTTTGCAATTTCGCCTGAAAGTGACTGGAGGGAGGTATAATGTTAAGTCCTTAATGAGCTGTCTGGAGCGACGGCTCTCGCTCACGCTGGCCGCTCGTCCGGATCACCTGAGAGCACCCGGCCCTGCCCCCACGGCTTCTGCTGAGAAGCCTGACAGAGCCGCATGCACACAGACGCCGCGGCCGCGTGTGAAGTCCAAGGACAGGCAGAAGGAAACTAAAGCGACGGGAGTCGGAAGTGGTTGCCCTCGGGGCGGGGGGTGGTGGGAACTGAGTGGAGAGGCGCCGGTGGGGATTCTCGGGGGTGATGGAATGTTCTCTACGCTGCCCTGGATGGTGGATACAGGGGTCTACGCATAAGGGTCAAAACTGTTTGAACTGGGACCTTTGGAAGTTAGCATTTTCTTGCTTGTAAATCATAGCTCTCATAGCTCTGTTATAAAAACATCCGCCAGGGTACCCCAAGATGAAATAAATCAGAATCGCTAGAGGTACTGGGATCAGGCGGGGGCGGGGTGGGGGACGGGAGTGTCGAGTCCACCGTAGAGCCACAATTGTGACCCTCTGGCTTTAAGTGGTGTTTCCCAAATTTGCCGGACCCCAGGAACCACCTGGGGTTTGTTAAAACTAGATTCCTGGGTCTTTTCCCCTGCGAGTCTGACGCCTTCTGGGTGGGCCCCAGGAGTCTGTACCCCAGGTGAGGAAAAACATGGCTGCTGTAGACTCAATGCTTGTGTTCCCCCCGGATCCGTACGTTGACATCTTAACCCCCAGTGTCATGGGATTTGGAGGTGAGCAGGTCACGAGGGTGGGGCCCTTGGGAACAGGATCAGTGCCCTTAGAAGGGGAGGCACGACAGCTTGCTTCCTGTCCCTGCTCTCTGCCGTGGGAAGACACAACAACCAGGCCGTCTGCAAACCAGGAAGAGCATCTGTCCTCACCGGACACCGATCTGCCCGCACCCTGTGAGAATAACCGTCTGCTGTTTAAGCCACCCAGTCCACGGGGTCCCGTAATGGCAGCTCGCACGAAAGGACAGCAGCGTGCTTTTAGAACAGGGTTTCTCAAAGTTGGGGGGTGGGTACAGAAGGCTCCACTGGTGGCCGACGAGCTCTGCGTACATGGGTCCTAATTAGGGCGCCGGCCAACAACTCACCTCCCGAGAGGGACATGCACTCTGCTCCTGTTTAAATGTGTCTGTGAACCTCGAGGAGGAGCTCCCCGCCTCACAACGCCTGCTAACGACTGGGTTTGGTGGTGGTTTTGTTTTGAACGAGAAAAGAACCATAAATAGGCTTCGGGCTTTCAAGAGGCAGGTGTGTCTGGTAAGGATTTAATATCATCGTTTGATTTTCAATGTAGCATTTTAAAAAAGTTTTCCTTCTCTCGTAGCAAGTGATGCCAGCTTATCTCTTATGATAGGGATGTAAAGTTCTCTTTAAAGTAAATTGATGTGAAGAAAAAGTGAACTATTTTAAAGTAGGGATCAGCATGTTTTTTCTGGAAAAGCTGCACACGGTAAATATTTTGGGCTTTGTGGCCATATCGTCCCTTTTTTGCATATTCTCCTTTGTTTTGCTTTGGAGCTTTTTTGTTGTTGTTGTTGTTTGTTTTAATAACTCTTTAAAAATGTAAAAAACCATTCTTAGCTCATTGAACTGAATTCGGGTGGCAGTTTGCCAACCCCTGTTATTTTAAAGAAAAATAACAGGTAAGCAATTCCACGTAGGGGACACGGAACACAAACGGGCTTGGGGGAACACTGCCACCGAGCACGGCCAGTTCTCCCAGCAGACCAGGCACACCGGTGACACTTGGGGCTGGCAGAAAACCGGGATGAATGGTTGTCTCCAGGGTCAAGGGTTAACATGGCGGATACACAGACCGAGAGGGGAGGTGGCAGGGACCACGTCACGTGATTCAGAGCACAGGCTTCAGAGCCGGTCACATCTAGATTGGAATCCTGGCTCCGTCATTTATTCCTGGCTGTGTGACCTTGGGTTTCAGCTCTGGGCCTCCGTTTTCCCATCTTGAAACTGGACCAATGGTCCCTGCCGGTGGGGTGATGAGATCGCTTACGTCAAGGACAGAGCCCCATGCCACGAATAAACCTCCAGCAGTGACGCCCTTCCATTGGTATTTTAGCTGCATATTATCACGGGTGTCGATGCTGTTATTGAGGGTATAGTGCAACTTTTTACCAGCCAGTGAGCAGGGTCTCGCTCTTTCTCCCTAAACAGGATCGCCAGATTTGGCAAACAAACACGAGCAAACACAGAAGCAGAGGGCCCATTAAATCTGACAATCAGAGGAACGATCATTTTTAAGTATAAGTATATCCCGCGTAATATTCGGGATATACTGAAACTAAACCATTCACGGTTTCTCTGAGATACCGAATTAAACTGGTATTGTATCCGGCACCGAGAGCCCCAGGGTCTCTTCCATCAGCCATCGGTTCGACGACAGAAAGCAGAGCCGTCCTGCCCAGAGTGAGGGAGGGCGGTCGGCGTGTTTTAAGGGGTTTGCTGCCTTTGCACAGCTCTCCTGTGTGCTCCAGCTCGTGTGGAGGCAGCCACAGCGGGCGCTTTGCTTTTCTCTCCAGTTTACAGCGGAGGATATTGCGAATCACCTGCCCCAAGGTAAGGCGACACAGCTCCCAAGAGAGCTAGCTCTTGGGTTTCTGCCGCCGCAGGCTGCTGAGATAGGGAGGAAGTGACACGAACCCCAATTAGGTCTCGGAGCCTGTATAAGGAGAGGCTTGGATAAAAGAGGAGGGGGTGGAGAAGATTCCAGATGAGACTTGAAGAAAGGGTGAGGGAGGGAAGCTCTGCTTGGCCAAGAGACACAGAGAGAAGGACGGGCCCCATCGCAGCCGCGGTCGGTGGTTCTTCCAGCCTCTGGCTTCGTCACACGCCCTCTGGTCTCCAGCAGACGCTGTCCCCAGCTCCAACATGCACTGAGCTCCTCCTCCCCCACCCCCCACCCCCGCCAGGCC